GCGCGGGTGGGCAGAACCCAAGGGTGAAGGGGCCCAGGGGTACTTTTTGCGTCGGCGGCTGGGCAGAGGGCGACTGCTCGGGCGGATAGGCAACAGGGGACACGCTGTATGCAAATTAGGGCCGCAATGCACGGAAGGAGGAGGAGGGGCCCTGGCGCGACAAGAAGAGAGGAAGCCGGGCCACTCGGAGCTGCTGGCTGCGGCAAGGGGAGCGCCGGGTGGGGGGGGAGCAGCGCCAGCACAAGCTGTACTGAACTGCACTGAGCTGAATCTGGGGGGGCCCAAGGACACACAAATGAACAGGCACAAATCCTAGGATTCCCCACGTTTTTCCATAGTTTCTGGAGTTTCGTCTTCCCCCCCACTGTCCATGTCCATAGTTTTCCCATCTTTTCCCGGGGATCGACGATCAATTGTGTCTGTGTTTTTCTCCCCCTGAGAATGGGTGCAAGCCGCCGCTGTGGCGTCGCATGCGGCGTTCGGGAAACCGCGAAGGGCCTGCACCGAAGGATGCTGCAGCGAAGGGGCACTCTAACGCGCATGGGGTAAGACAACCACGGCATAGACACGAACATCAACTTATGAAGGTCCGCGCGGATTTCTCTTGCATCTGCGCCCCCCCCCCCCCCCCCCCAGCGGCGCCTCTGGCGCCGCCCCTGGCGCGCGGAGCGCACCAGGTCGGAGGTCGGGAGCTCCAGCGCAGTTCTGTTGTCTTCGAATGTGCAGATCCAAGAAACCCGCGCGGACCGTCGAGCAGTTACGTGCCACCACCACCACAATCTGCCACACCACCACCACCGCCACAGCTACTACCAGCAGCACAACCCACCGCCACCACCACAAACCTGCACCTGGCAACAGGCGGGAGCCGGGGAACCGCCTCCAGGGCCTCCGCATTTCCACCCGCCGAGCGCCGCGAGGAGGTCAGGACAGCGCCGGCGGAGCATGGCCGCTGTGTCTGATCCGCGGATCCGCTCCGCCTGTGCCCAGCCACGTGTGAACGTCGCGGCGGGCTCTCACAGCATGTCACTGGTGCCCCCGCTGCTTCCACGGCAGGGCCTGGCCCGGCGGCGCAGAGGCACTGTCGCTGTGGTGCTGCCTCTCATGGCCAGGCCGACTCTCGTGGCCGGGCCACCGATACTTCTGCGACGCCTGCGGCAGGCCCCCGACAGCGCTCCCGCACGTTCCTGGGCGGGGTGGGCTGTCGGACCCTCCTTGGCGATCAGTGGGTCATTGGAGCGCGAGGAATGCCCCCTGAGCCCACCGCCCCTCAAGGTTGTCCCCGATGCGCCCCCTCGCAGATGCTTGCCCTCCCGCCAGGGGGTCGACGTGGCCCGGGCGAGGGCGCCTGGGGCGCTGGCCCATCGCCGCGTCGAGGACCCCAGAGGCGGCGGCCCCTGAGGCTCCTTCGTGCCCCTCGCCATGCTTTTTGTTGGTCGCGGCCGCGAGCGAAGAGCGCAGGCGGCGAACAGGGCGTCCGGGCCGACGGGCAAGCCTAATTAGCTACTGGGCGCGACACAAGCCGGCCGGGCCAGCTCACAAGGCGGCACCTGGGGCAGCGCTCCTCTCGCCGTGCGTGCCGCCGGGAATTTTGGCTCAGCGTGTCGCGGCGGCGGCCCCGGCGACACGCTGCGCCCTGCGAGCGGGCAGCGGGTCGCTCCGCTCCGCGGGGCGGGAGGCTCGGGAGAGCTCGGGGCCTCGACGCTGGGACCGCGTGTCGCCCCGAAGCGTGGTGGGCCAGAGCCGGCGGGGCGACACGCCAGACCAAGGTTCCTGGCCGTATCGTGCGTCGTCTGGGTGCGCTACGGCGGCTGGAGGCAGCGCTGCACCGCCTCCAAGGCCCACAGGTCGCGGAGCTTATGGGCCAGCTGGCGGCCAGCATCGCCGCCGCTGGCCCTCCCTCCCCCTTCTCCTCGCGTCGCCCCTCTCGCCACAGGGCTCCTGCTGGCTGGTAAACGAAGAAGAAGTGCAAATCGCCTGCTTCCCAACTGATGGGAAGGGGACTCCTCCCTGCGGCCGCCAGCCAAGGAGGAGAAGGAGCCTGAGGAGGACGACAACGACCAGCAGGGGGAGGCGGCTGCACATGCACACCGGCGCACGGCGGTTGGCGGCAAGACAGCATCAGCAAAACGTTCCAACACTTGGCACGGGGTGTTTTCTTCGTCCGATCTCCGCCCTCAGGACCCATGCGGATTAACCCAGCTCGAGAAATGCCTCAGAAAAACGGAGTCGGGTGCTCTGGCTTTGATCTCCGACACGATGTTGCATGTTTTTGCGGAGACCCCTGGAAAAGCAATGCAATGTTTGCAAGTCATGTCGAAATATCGCCCGGGGGACTTCCCATGGGGCAGTTTCTAATCTCCCGAACGCTTCTGACGGCCCCGCGGGTCCCGAAGACGGCCCCGTGAGGCCAACAGCGACGAAAAACCGAAGGCGATGAAAACACCGATCAAAGTTCAAAGCCGTGCTGCGCATCCATGGCAGCGCACGCGGCCAAGCACGGCGAAACGTCTCGGCGCGTTTTGAGCGGCAAGAATCAAGGGGTATAGGCGTAGGGGGGCTACATCGACCTCGAATGTCGGAGAAGGGCAACCCGGAGACACTGGAAATTCAAGAACGTCTCAAAATCGGACCCCAGACTCCACCACGGGGCCCAACCGCATAAGTTTTCCGAGTTGTGCCCAGCCTTGGCGCCGAGGGACCCTCCCCCCCGAAGGCCAACTACCGGTGACTCAAACGGCCCTCCGCTGAGAATGGCGGATGCATCGCCCATGTACGTCGAGACGCTGCCGAGGCAGAACGCCCCATGCATCGTCGACACGTCGTCGATGCGTGGCACAGATCTGGCTGTGAGCAGCGTGCCCTCATATCAGCGATGCATCGCCGATGCGTCGTCGATGTACCCACCACTCGAGGTGGATGCCTCCCCCCCCTGTGCCTGCTACCCCGCCCCCCCGCCTCGTTGCCCCTGGCCCGCCGTGCCTCCCGGCGAGCCCTGCCAAGCCGCCCCGCTCCCCCCCCCCCGCGGTCCTGCCGGCGCAGACCCGCTCCCTCACCATCTGCCCGCGGACCTGGCCCTGACCGAACTGGATCATTACCTGCAGGGGCGAAGGGGAAGGACGAGGAGGAGGAGGAGGAGGACGACGACTGCAAACCCAAATTTCATCAACCATGCTGCAGCACACCCTCCCTCTAAACTCCCTCGCCATGAGCCCCCTACAAAGACTCGTTTTCGCTGAGGGAGGGGCCCCGTTTGAAGACATACGTTCAAAAAGCTTGAGCTGTGCAAAAGCACCATTCCTGGGACTCCAACGCCGCGAGTCGCCATTGCCGTTGCGTCTTGACGAGCCCGAATCGCGTGCAAATGCCGCTCCTGGGACTGCAGCGCTGCGAGTCCACGTAACTGGAGCGCCCCGACAGCCCGAAACCGCTCCAGGACACAACTCTGGGACGTTCACCACGAGGTTCCTTAGACCACTGTCTGTCTCGCCTGTGGCTGTGTAGCCACCCAAGCGGTCAGAAATTTGAGCAAGAAGTGCTCAGCGATTTTGAATGCTTGTGGCAAGCGGCAGTTGAGGAGAGTGCAGCAAAGTTTGCCTCCTGGATCCTCAAGGCTTGCCAAGAGTCAAGTGGCCCAGAAGAAGGTCCTGCGTTAAACTTGTTCATCTCTGCCTCAGGCTGGAAGAAACAAAAAAGGCGCTGGGGCGAGAGCCACAATTTGTCAAGGAGCCGCCTTTCAGTAGCGAACCTCTTGCACATGTTCGAAAACATTGTGCGCGGCGCGAGAGCGAGAGACGCACTTCGAAAACGGCCGGCCCTCCATCCGTGAAAAACTTGAGCTACTTCTGGCAAGCAAGAAAAAACGAATGTGCAAGGCGCCATTTCGAGAGCAACATGTTCAGAAACTGACCACCCTCCCTCCATCAAGGAAATTCGTGCATGTTTCACAGAAAAGCAAAAGCGCGCCAGGCGAAAACGAGAGCCACAATCGGAAAACCACCTGCCCCCCATCCGTGAAACACTTGCATTTGTCATGCGTATGTGATCGGCGCTACGGCGAGAGCCACATGTTGAAACCGGGCCGACCTCCATCCGTGAAGCTCCTGCAAATTCTCAGGTTCAGGATCCTAGATGGCCAGGACGTCTCAGGCGAAACGCTCGAGCCGCGATGCCCATTTGGACGACAGGCGATAAAAAAAAACAAAAATCTTGGAATGTTAACGCCAAAGCACCGGTCCTGGAATGTTAACGCCCCGAATGAGCGTTACTGTTGCGACGTGGCGACCGTGAGTCGTGCCAGAACACCGTGTCTGCCGCGCCCTGACGATCCGAAATCGTGCCAATAAGCCGTTTCTGGAACGTCAGCAAGAAGAACCCGTAAAGCTGTTGCAAACTACTTGAACAAATGCGCGCGGCGCTGAGGCGAGATCCACATTGTGAAAAGCAGCCACCTTCCGTCCATCAAGCTTCTGCAAACCTTTTACACGAATGCGCGCGGGGCCAACGCGAGAGCCACACATTGAAACCGACACGCCATCCATGCGAGAAACGTTCTGCAAACTGTTCGGACGAATGCGCGCGGCGCCATGGTAAGAGCCACAATTCGAAAACCATCCGACCTCCCTCAATCTGCGAACAACTTGCACAACTTCTAGACATATGTACGCGGCGCTAACGCGAGAACCACATGTTGAAAACGGCCCGCCCTCCATTCGTGAAACGTTCTGTAAACTGTTAGCATGCATGTGCGCGGCGCTGGGGCGAGAGCCACATGGTAGAAACCACCAGATCTCCATCCTCGAAATACCTGCACATGCTCAAAATGAATGCGCACGGCGCAAAAGCGAGAGAAGCGTTTTGAAAACGACACGCCCTGCATCCGTGAAGCGTTCGGAAACTGTCCAGACGAATGCGCGCGGCGGCAATGTGATAACAACCGGTTGAACATGACCCACCCTCCGTGCGTGAACCTCGTGCAAATCTTCAAGTTTCAGGATCATGGGTGGTGAGGGCGCCTCAGGCGAAACGCCGGGCCCGCCCGACCGACACATCTAGGGGCGCGAAAGGGAGGAGTGACTTATGAGGAAGAGGGATTTCTTTTCGGTGCAAAGCTATCGTGTCGATTCGACTCTCTGCGTGTGCGTGCGAAACAAGGATGCCGCCACACACCCCTCACATTCAAACGAATCCTCTCGACCAGAGCAGCGGAGGAGGAGGAGGAGGAGGAGGAGGAGGAGGAGGAGGAAGGTGGAGAATGGCGGAGGAAGGAGGAGGAGGAGGAGGAAAGGATGGAGGAGGAGGAGGAGGCATTCTTCTGGAAGGGAGGAGGATTTGGGGGAGGGAAGAGGAAGGGTGGTGTAGAGGAGGAGGAGGAGGAGGAAGGCGGGAGGAGGAGGAGGAGGAGGAGGAGGAGGAGGAGGAGTCTCGTACCATCTCGTACAGACTCAAGCAACAATGCACGACTGGTCGTATCTGCTCTGGGTTGGGGTGTTGGCCATTGCCTCGTCCCCTCTCTCGCGCCACATCGCTCTGGAGCATGCCGTGCCGAAGAAACGGGGGCACTGGCGGATGCGAACCTGTTGGCACCCGCCAGGGGGACGCCAGGTGTGAAGTGTCCGCGAAGTCGGCGTGAATTGCGGAAGACGCTCGGCCGCCGATGATTGAGAGAGTGCCGCGCGCCTGTAATCATAGACTGGCTTCCCCCACCGCCTAGTCCAGACGCTTGAAGACGGAGCGACAGATATCTGGGCAAAATCAGGGCGCCACATTGTTTTGGAGGAGGAGGAGGAAGAGAATGACCCCCCCCCCTCCTTTTACCTCTCGGAGCCTCGGGATGTAGGATAGACGTGCAGCCTGGCAGTAAGGCCAGCGGGGCGTCCGCGCGGACGTGAGATCGCGCCGAGGCGCGCTGCGGAGGCGCCAGGAGGAAGAGGAGGAGGAGAGGGAGGAGGAGAGGGAGGAGGAAGAGGAGGAGAGGGAGGAGGAGGAGGAGAGGGAGGAGGAGGAGGAGGAGGAGGAGGGAGGGAGGAGGAGGAGGAGGAGGGAGGGAGAGGGAGAGGAGGAGGAGAGGGAGGAGGAGGAGGAGGGAGAGAGGACCTCCTCGCGCCGTGAGAAGAGCATGACGGGAGGTCTTCCCCCACCCCCCCACCCGACAGGATGGCGTTCGCAGGTTCAGAGCGAAGAGCTCGCGACCCACCTCTCGTACGGCAGGTTCGTGTCGTGCCGACCCCAGCGTTGGTTTCTGACACCGCAGGGATCATTCAACCTTGAACGATCGGCCGCTGCCGCAACGTCCGATCGTTCCACATCGATCGATCCTGGGTCGCCGGCGGCGTTCAACCTTGAACGCCCGCGCTGGGGTCGCCGCTGGTCGACACGACGCAAACCTACAGTACTGCATTCTCTGCGGGCACAAGACGAACCCTGTGGCGAGAGGCGGAGGCGGAAGGTACGGGGGCAAGTCAGCATCGCTGAACCGACCACTACACCCATGGCCGTGGCCTGGGCCCCACTGGCCAGTGTCTCCGACTAGATGGGGATACAGGCCGCCTCCTTCAGGGTGTATCCCTGGCTGGGGGGGTGGGATGGTGGGTATCTGGATGGGGATAAGGGATGGGGGCAGGGGTCGGTTTCAACGATGCTGGACAGAAGGGAGGTCGGCTACACGTAAGAATGAACCTAGACCTTTGGTGCACGACTTCACGGGGGACGTGGGGTGGCCAAACCCCGGGCGCGCAAGCCGCTGCTACCGCTCCGCGCTCAGCGATCAGGGGACCCCATTGGGCCCGCGCAAAAGGTCACTCCAGCGAAAGGTCACTCTTGCGTCTAGTCGAGGAAGGCCCGCGAGCCGGGAGCGCGTTTCTTTATGTTCGGCGATGACTGGCGTCTTGGGGGGGGAGGCGAGGGGGGGTGTGACGTAACGCCCCCCCCCGCTGTGTGGCTCCAGCACCGCAGTCGCGCCCGCGCGCACGACGCGACGAGCGACGAGCGACGAGCGACGAGCGACGCCGACGACACGAGCAGCATGTAGGTGGCGATATGCCCCACTGCGCCTGTGTACACCACAGCACCTGCGCACACAGCAACAACCGTGTGCAACGCAGCGACCGTGTACACCACAATGCTTGCGTACACCGCAACGCTTGTGTACATGCGCACACCGCAGCTACCATGTGCAACGCAGCGCCAGTGCACACCACAATGCCTGCGTGCACCGCGGCGCCCGTGCACGCCACAGCGCGTGTCTACACCGCAGCATCCGCGAGCAACGCAGCGCTGGTGTACACCACAATGCCTGCGTGCATAAGACAGGTAGAAGGAGCATGTACGTGAGGATCTGCTGCGGACAAGTAGACGCTACGCCAGGAAAGTGCTGATAATCGAATGCGACGTTTTTCCCCCCTCCCTCCTCCTCCACCTCCACCACCTCCTCCTCCTCCCCATGTTCCTCCTCCTCCTCCTCCTCCTCCTCCTCCTCCTCCTCTTTACCCCTTGTCGTGCGGGTTGGCGATGCAACGCACGTGCGCATCCCAGCGCGCACCGCAGAATGGTCTATTGAGTCGGTCCACTTGGATCTCGGACGGCCAATTTAGCTGCGGCCTCCCGGACCCAGATGGGAGGAGTTAGGGTGATGCGGGCGGACTGGGGAGGACTCGTAGATTCAAGCGGCGCTCCGTTGTCCATAAGGATTATCTTTTATTGTTTTCTGTGGAATCCACAAGCTCTCCATTTTGTCATGAGGATTCGTTCTAGCATTCTGTATACAACAGTGGTCTTGTGTTGCACACGGTTGCTGTGGTGCACACAGGCGCCGTGGTGTACACAGGCACTGCAATGCACGCAAGCATTGTGGTGTACACTGGTGCTGTGTTGCACACGGCTGATGTGGTGTACGCAAGCGCTGTGGTGTGCACAAGGGCTGTTGTGCCCGCAGGCACGGTGGCACAAACTGACGCAGTGTTGCACGCGGCTGCTATGGTGTACGTAGGCGGTGTGGTGTACACAGGCGCTGCGGTGCACGCAGGCACTGTAGTGTACACATGCGTTGTGGTGCCAATAGCCAAGTACATGCTGGCGCTACCCGACCTCCGTCATTCCT